AGCTGGTCCAGGCTCTGAAAAGATCCTAACTCTATGGTCCTAACTATATGTTAAACAAAATCTGAAGAATATATTAAAAAATATATCTATATTTAAAAATATATATTTTTAAAATATATTCTTCAGATTTCTTTTAACATATAAAAAAGTAATGTTAACATATATTTTTACATATATTTGTAAATGCATTCCAAAAATGAAGATTTGTATTTTTAAAGGCATACAGTATATTGGAAATGTATTTTTAAAAATATTTTTCATATATTTTGTAATAAAAATGCATTTCAACATACAGTATATATATATATATATATATATATATATATATATATATATATATATATTTAAATATATTTTGAAATATATTGGATATGGCCAAAAATATAAGTTAATATTTCAAATACATTTTTCTTCCATATGGGTAGATTAGATAGATAGATAGATAGATAGATAGATAGATAGATAGACGTAGGAGGTATGTAGATAGATCTACCACTAGTCATCAGACACGAGGATATACAGTGCTGACACTCTGTCACTACATGAGGAGTTAACATTGCATTAGCAGCCTGAGCCTAGTTTAGGGGATGCTATGACTATGCTGACAGATTTAATTTCCCAGCTGTCTTGGATTGATGTCTTTGCATTTTAGCCAAATGGCATTTCCAAGATTCCTGACTTTTGTTCTCCTAGAGTTGTACGCTGAGGAAATCTCTTGTGCCAGAACCTGGCCATTATGTGGGGAATACTACAATGTATACACAGAGATCATAATGCAGTTTCTTTTAAAAAATGTGCTGCAATAAACTCATGGTATCATACACAACTAAGCGGTTAATTACATGTCAATCATTCTAAAAGCTAGAATTCATCTTTTGCACATTCTGTAGTGGAGATGATCTAAATTGAGATTTTTCATTTCCTCATATTTTCAGGGTAAAGGGAAAGCCAAGAGATTTCTTTGAAATTCAGTGGAATCAGTGAGGGAGGATGGGGTTTTAAGGGTGCCTGCAATGAGAAGGGCAAAGGGCTACTGAGGATTATAGAAACTCCTTTCAACTACCCTGCACCTGTTCTTGTCTCAATGACTTTAGTCCCACACACACTAGAACCCTTTTCTATTCCACCATGGTCTGCAAAACTTGACATCAAACTCTTATGAGGCCTTACCTCTGCAATTAAAGAAACCAAAGAAATCCTCAGACGGAGATGTTTCTATTGGATTGAATATAAGTACCAACACAGCCCAACAAGAAAAAAAAATCTTTTTTCGTGCTGCTTTGCTTTTTAGACCTGTTTTTGGAGTTATTTGGGGCACTGATTCAGAAAATGACATTGGCTAGACTGCATCAGCTCTAGTTTCTTAGACATGGTCAGGTTTATATCATTTTCAGTTTTTTTTAAAGATCTTGCTGATCAAATTGTTCTTCAGTTCCATAGTTTGTGTTTTTGTGTACAAGTCAGCAGATATAGTCAGAGTGTTTATGCACTTCCAACTGTAAATCTTACATTAGAAACATTAGATTCTAAAGTGTAAGGTATTAACTGTATTATAGTTATGATCGTATAGGAGGTGTATGTACAGTATCTCAAAAAAGTGAGTCCACCCCTCATGTTTTTGTAAATATTTGATGTGACAACACTGAAGAAATGGCACTTTGCTACAATGTGACGTAGTGAGTGTACAGCTTGTATAACATGTAAATTTGCTGCCCTTCAAAATAACTCAACACACAGCCATTAATGTCTAAACCGCTGGCAAAAAAAAGTGAGTACACACCTAAGTGAAAATGTCCAAATTGGGCCCAAAGTGTCAATATTTTGTGTGGCCACCATTATTTTCCAGTACTGCCTTAACCCTCTTGGGCATGGAGTTCACCGGAGCTTCACAGGTTGCCACTGGAGTCCTCTTCCACTCCTCCATGACGACATCACGGAGCTGGTGGATGTTAGAGACCTTGCGCTCCTCCACCTTCCATTTGAAGATGCCCCACAGATGCTCAATAGGGTTTAGGTCTGGAGACATGCTAGGCCAGTCCATCACCTTTACCCTCAGCTTCTTTAGAAAGGCAGTGGTCATCTTGGAGGTGTGTTTGGGGTTGTTATGTTGGAATACTGCCCTGCGGCCCAGTATCCGAAGGGAGGGGATCATGCTCTGCTTCAGTATGTCACAGTGTGAATTTGCTGTCCCCCCAAAAATAATTCAACACACAGCCATTAATGTCTAAACTGCTGGCAACAAAAGTGAGTACGCCCCTAAGTGACAAATTGGGCCCAATTAGCCATTTTCCCTCCCCGGTGTCATGTGACTTGTTAGTGTTACAAGGTCTCAGGTGTGAATGAGGAGCAGGTATGTTACATTTGGTGTTATTGCTCTCACTCTCTCATACTGGTCAATGGAAGACAACATGGCACCTCATGACAAAGAACTCTCTGAGGATCTGAAAAAAGAATTATTGCTCTACATAAAGATGGCCTAGGCCAGTGGTGGGCAACTTTTTTTTTTCAACTGAGCCAAATCTCGCCAAAACCACGATTGAAATTTATTTTGAGAGCCACATTTTTAAAACTGAAAATACATCCCCCATATAGTAATTCATCCCCCATAGTAATTCATCCCCCATAGTAATTCATCCCCCATATAGTAATTCATCCCCCATAGTAATTCATCCCCCATATAGTAATTCAATCCCCCATAGTAATTCATCCCCCATATAGTAATTCATCCCCCATATAGTAATTCATCCCCCCATAGTAATTCATCCCCCCTATAGTAATTCATCCCCCATATAGTAATTCATCCCCCATATAGTAATTCATCCCCCATATAGTAATTCATCCCCCATATAGTAATTCATCCCCCCCCCCCATAGTAATTCATCCCCCATATAGTAATTCATCCCCCCTAAAGTAATTCATCCCCCATATAGTAATTCATCCCCCATATAGTAATTTCATCCCCCAATTCATCCCCCATATAATTCATCCCCCATAGTAATTCATCCCCCATATAGTAATTCATCCCCCATAGTAATTTCATCCCCCATATAGTAATTCATCCCCCATATAGTAATTCATCCCCCATAGTAATTCATCCCCCATAGTAATTCATCCCACCATAGTAATTCATCCCCCATATAGTAATTCATCCCCCATATAGTAATTCATCCCCCATAGTAATACATCCCCCATATAGTAATTCATCCCCCATATAGTAATTCATCCCCCATAGTAATTCATCCCCCATATAGTAATTCATCCCCCATATAGTAATTCATCCCCCATATAGTAATTCATCCCCCCTATAGTAATACATCCCCCCTATAGTAATTCATCCCCCATATAGTAATTCATCCCCCATATAGTAAATTCATCCCCCATAGTAATTCATCCCCCATATAGTAATTAATCCCCCATATAGTAATTCATCCCCATATAGTAATTTCACCCCCCATATAGTAATTCATCCCCCATAGTAATTCATCCCCCACATAGTAATTCATCCCCCACATAGTAATTCATCCCCCATAGTAAAAAACATCCCCCATAGTAATACATCCCCCATATAGTAATACATCCCCCATAGTAATTCATCCCCCATATAGTAATACATTCCCCATATTGTGTCAATTCACTTACCTTTGCTCCGCGCGTTCCTCTCGCTGTGTTCCCGCGCCGTTCTGGTCTTCAGGGCGGACTGTGTGAGAGGAGAGGAGTTCGTCACGCTTTGCCCCGCCTTACATCCTGGCTGCCCCGCCTACATCCTGACAGCTGCAGAGTCCTGACTTTTGGGGCGGGCCGCCCGAGAAGAGGGAGGGGAGCGGGCGCCCGGCACACAGAAGAGCCGCATTTAAGTTTGTAAAGAGCCGCATGTGGCTCGCGAGCCGCGGCTTGCCGACCACTGGCCTAGGCTATAAGAAGATTTCTAAGACCCTGAAACTGAGCTGCAGCACGGTGGTCAAGACCATACAGCGGTTTAATAGAACAGGTTTCAATCAGAACAGGCCTTGCTATGGTCGACCAAAGAAGTTGAGTGCAGAGAGTTCTTTGCCATGAGGTGCCATGTTGTCTTCCAGTGACCAGTATGAGAGAGTGAGAGCGATAACAGAGACGTTAACACACCTGCTCCCCATTCACACATGAGATCTTGCAACACTAATGAGTCACATGGGCCAAATTTGGACATTTTCACTTAGGAGTGTACTCACTTTTGTTGCCAGCGGTTTTAGACATGGCTGTATGTTGAGTTATTTTGGGGGGACAACAATTTACACTGTGACATAATGAAGCAGAGCATGATCCCCTCCCTTCGGATACTGGTCCGCAAGGCAGTATTCCAACTTTATAATGACCCCAAACACACCTCCAAGATGACCACTGCCTTGCTAAAGAAGCTGAGGGTAAAGGTGATGGACTGGCCAAGCATGTCTCCAGACCTAAACCCTATTGAGCATCTGTGGGGCATCCTCAAATGGAAGGTGGAGGTCTTTAACATCCACCAGCTCCAGGATGTCATCATGGAGGAGTGGAAGAGGACTCCAGTGGCAACCTGTGAAGCGCTGGTGAACTCCATGCCCAAGAGGGTTAAGGCAGTGCTGGAAAATAATGGTGACCACAAAAAATATTGACACTTTGGGCCCAATTTGGACATTTTCACTTAGGTGTGGACTCACTTTTGTTGCCAGCAGTTTAGACATTAATGGCTGTGTGTTGAGTTATTTTGAGGGGACAGCAAATTTAAACTGTTATACAAGCTGTAAACTCACTATGTCACATTGTAGGGAAGTGTAGTTTTTTCAGTGTTGTCACATGAAAAGATAGAATAAAATATTTACGAAAATGTGAGTGGTGTACTCAATTCTGTGAGATACTGTATATTGCCACTCATATTATTTCATTTTTGCAGATCGAGCACCATAGAGGTTATAGCTGCCAGGGTCGACTGACCATATGGAAACTTGGGCACTGCCCAAGGGCCCAGGGTCAGTAGGCGGCCCCATGAGATGCCCCTGGTACCTTTTTCATAGGCTTTTTTGAGTGTGGGCAAGGACACAGGGGCCCCATGATCCCCTATTGTCCGGGGGCCCCATGAGTTGTCAGTCCGCCCCTGATAGCTACTTTTTTATGTTTCTTTCATGCCACAAGAAGAGTAAAACAAAAGGAGTACCTTCAAATATTCTGATTTTTGATGGGCGACCAGCGTGAAGAGTGGTATGTGGCATTTATGCTGTATGTGAAAAACTAGAGCTGATAGGGAAAAAATGGTGCCATTTTAGGAATCAGCTGCTCAAATATACCCAGGAACAGATCTAACATTCTAAGTAGAGATGAGCGAAGTATTCAAAAATTCGATTCGACTGATTCGGCGAATTCGTGGAAAAAATTTGATTCGAGTCGAATATATTTGCTGCGAATTTAACTTATAAAAGGGTGTTTCTAGGCTTCAGAGAGCCTTTATATTAGTGCAGAACACTGTACCTTTAATTTAAATGCCCTAGGAGTCTGCTGGGGAAGAGAAATAATACTGACAGTCAGTATGACATGCAGATGAGTGCCGTCGATCTTAGAATCACCGCACACTTCACTCATTTGGGCAGTCACGGGGCCAAAAAACCAGAGTGTGGAGCCACAGTGTGGCGGTGGAGGCAGCAGCAATGGGAGGCCATACAGCACCCTATGACAAAAATGGAAACCACCAGCAGTGTGAGGAGACCTGAAAGTGGCACATGGCAGAGTGTGGCGATGGAGACAGCAGCAATGGGAGGCCGTACAGGGACCCATGACACACTCTGGACCTGGCAGCAGCATGCGGAGGCGGTACAGGGGCCCATGACAGATTACGGGCCTGGCAGCAGCATGAGGAGTTGGTACGGGGGCCCATGACACACTCTGGACCTGGCAGCAGCATGAGGAGGAGGTACAGGGGTGCATGACAGATTACGAGCCTGGCAGCAGCAACTTGGACAGGAGGACGCTCAGCTTCTGCACCGTCGGGTGCGTGCTCGCAAACTGTTGTCTCTTGGAAACGGATTCCAAGAAAGACTGCTGACGGAATCCGTGAAGAGGAGTAGCAGGAGAAGGAGCATCTGAACGAGCGGAATATGCCAACAAGCGACAACAGGGGCCCATGACAGATTATGGGCCTGGCAGCAGCATGAGGAGTCGGTACGGGGGGCCCCATGGCAGATTAGGGGCCTGGCAGCAGCTATGGGAGGCCCGTAATCTGCCAGCACCCTATGACAAAAAAATGGAACACACCAGCAGTGTGAGGAGACCTGAAAGTGGCACATGGCAGAGTGTGGCGATGGAGACAGCAGCAATGGGAGGCCGTACAGGGACCCTTGAGAGACTCTGGACCTGGCAGCAGCATGAGGAGAGGCGGTATAGGGGCCCATGGCAGATTAGGGGCCTGGCAGCAGCTATGTATGGGAGGCCCGTAATCTGCCAGCACCCTATGACAAAAAATGGAACACACCAGCAGTGTGAGGAGACCTGAAAGTGGCACATGGCAGAGTGTGGCGATGGAGACAGCAGCAATGGGAGGCCGTACAGGGACCCATGAGAGACTCTGGACTTGGCAGCAGCATGAGGAGGCGGTAAGTATAGGGGCCCATGGCAGATTAGGGGCCTGGCAGCAGCTATGGGAGGCCCGTAATCTGCCAGCACCCTATGACAAAAAATGGAACACACCAGCAGTGTGAGGAGACCTGAAAGTGGCACATGTTTGGGGCATGATTCATGGCGGATTTAGTCAGTTGTGTCAGGAACTGGTGGTTTGAAATCCAGACTAATCCACGCCTGATTCATTTTCACAAACGTGAGTCTCTCCACACTTTGGGTGGACAGTCGTGTCCTCCGCGGAGTTACAATACCTCCTGCCGCACTAAACACGCGCTCCGATGCCACGCTACTGGCCGGGCATGACAGCCTTTCAAGGGCAAATTCAGCTAGTTGGGGCCAAAGGTCAAGTTTCGTTGCCCAGTAGTCAAGGGGATTGTCTACCTCGGTTGGCAGGGTGCTGTCCAAGTAGGCCTAAGCCTGTTGTTTGAGGTCCTGCTCCAGGTCCACCTGATGCTGCTGCTGCTGCTGCGCTGCGGCTGGTTAGTAGTTTCCTCACTGCGCTGGTGAAGAAAGCTACTCATCATCGACTGCAGACTGAGGCAGCCGCTGCTGGTGGAGCTGCCACTGCTCCTACCACCCCACCCCTCCCCTGCTGCCATGGCAGCGGAACGCGAGCGCACAGGGCCCACAGTGTCTGAGGATGGACGTTGGCACACAAAGGCAGAGACCAACTGACTACATAGGTGGTTTTTATATAGTACGTTATTTTTTGGCCTCCCTCTCAGCAGGTGTGAAAAAGGCCACCATTTTTGAACGGTAGCGAGGGTCCAACAAGGTGGACAGCCAAAAGTCATCCCTCTGTCTGATGGTTATTTATTCGGCTGTCGCTACGCAAGCAACCGAGCATGCTATGGGCCATTTGTGCCAAGGAATGCGAGGGACTCCCTGCCTCCATCTCCACAGCATACTGCCACGGTGCGTCTGGGTCCTCTGTCTCCTCCTCCTCCTCCTCTACCAGATGCTCCTGCTCCTCCACTCCTGTCCGCTGTGGAAAAACCACCCATTTCACTCAATAATTCCTGAGCACAAATGTCCTCCCTCCTCTACCTCCTCCTCTTCTTCCTGTCCTGCCCCACAGGGGTCATGTGGTGTTGAGATCTGTGCGCCACGTCTACCGCACCCTGACCAGCCATTGTTAACAGCATTTGTTCCAGGACGTGCAACAGAGGAATGACGTCGTTCATCCCATAGTCCTGCCGACTCACGAATAGCGTGGCCTCCTCAAAGGGCCTGAGCAAGCGGCAGGTGTCACGCATGAGCTGCCAATGGCTGACATCGAAGTTACACAGGGGATTACCTTTATCCGCTTGTAACATCAGGAAATCGGTGATGGCCTTTCGCTGTTCGTAAAGGCGGTCTAACATGTGTAGGGTTGAATTCCACCTTGTTGCAACAACGTCGCAGATCAGGCGATGCTGTGGAATTCCGTTCTGCCGCTGCAGCTCAAGTGAGGGTGTGCTTTGCGTAGGAATGGCTGAAATGCATGCAAAGTTTACGTGACATTTTAAGGATGTCTTGCAGTGGGATGGTGGATTTTTAGGAACCGCTTCCTTATCTTGACAACCAGATTGAACACGTGAGCCATGCATGGCGCATGGCACAACCTTCCTTGACGCAGAGCCAGACACCATGTCTTTCCGATGTCGCATCAACATGGTTCCGCGATTTTCAGTTTTTGCGCAGAGACAGCCAATCCTGACCGATTCTCTGTTCATTACACTGTGAATTAGGTCCCACATGTGTGACGATCTTTACAGCCTGGACCTGCAAGCAGCCTGGGTACAGGGTAGACCATGGGCAGATTACGGGCCTGGCAGCAGATTTGGAGGCCCGTAATCTGCAAGCACCCTATGACAAAAAAATGGAACACAACAGCGTGTCGTGAGGAGACCGTGAAGAGTCACATGGCAGAGTGGTGGCGATGGAGACAGCAGCAAGTGGGAGGTCGTACAGGGACCCATGAGTGGATTCCTGGATGGATCCCTATATTAGGGCCAGCAGCCAATCACAACCCACATGTGAGAACCTGAAATGCAACATGGCAATGTGATTACACAGTGAGGGCCCCATGGCAGATTAGGGGCCTGAGCCGAGCAGCTATGGGAGCGCGTAATCTGCCAGCACCTATGACAAGAAAAATTGAAAACACAGCAGTGTGTGGGGAAAGACCAAAAAGGGGCACATGGCAGGGGGGGCGATGGAGACAGCAGCAATGGGGGCCCGGGGTACAGGGCCCATGAAGACCCCGGGAAATTTTTGGCACAGCATGAGGGGGCCCGGAAATAGGGGCCCATGGCAAAATTGGGGGCCTTTGGCAGCACTATGGGGGGCCCCCGAAATCTGCCAGCACCCTATGACAAAAAATTGAACACACCAGCAGTGGGGAGGAAAACCTGAAAGGGGAAAAATCCATGGGCCGGGGGAGACACCGGGGGGGTGGGAATTTTGGCCCCAAGCAGCTTTAGGAGGCGGGAAAGGGGGGCCCAGGGGCAGATTAGGGGCCTGGGCAGCAGTTTAGGGGAAAGGCCCCCGAAATCTGCCACCCACCCTAATGGAAATAACCACCCACAGCAGTGTCCCCCCCCACAACTTACCGTGCAGGAGACTGAAAGGTGGCACTTGGCTGAGGGTGGGCGATGGTGACAACCCACCCCGACGTTTTCCCCTCGCTCCCCAAGCTGCCACCCCCATCCCTGATGAAGCAAAAAACCCTTGTTTACGACGAGGCTGCCAATTTGCATGAGCCTCATCATCATCAATTAGGGTCTCCGCCTCACTACTAAACCCCCCTCGGCTGCGTGTGGGCAAGGGGACCCGACCTGTCTCTAGACCGGGTACCCCCAACCTCTCCCCGCCAAATTAAATTCTTCGCCGGCCCGCTGAAGAGGCGGATGTCTCCCCCCGTTCCTGACCGCCCCTGTTACCTTCCCCACTGTACTGGGGTGGGCACCGGGAGCCCCTTGGGCCCCCTGGCTGCGAATAGTGCTGCCTCGACCCCCCCTTTTCCCCTGCGCCAAGTCCCGCCGCTTTCCCAAAAAATTGCCTCCTCGCCACCCTCTGCATGTTTTGGGTTTTACATACTCTTTTAAAAAACGAATTTTGTGTCCCCCGATTAACAATTCGGTTTTTGCCCCGAGTAAAAAATTCGTGGGCCCTGAGTAACTTTCCCGTGGCCCTAAATAACAATTCTGTGGCCCTCATAACCCAAATTTTTGTTTTCCCTAGTAAAATTCTTTTTGGTTTTCCCCCCCAGTAACAATTTTTTTGTCCCCCCAAATAACCTTTTCCAGGGGTTTTTGTCCCCCAAATAACTTTTTGTGCCCTAAATAACAATTCTGGTCCCCCCAGGAAACAATTCTGTTCCCTCAGAACAAAATTTTTGTTGTCCCTAAATAACAAATTCTGTGGCCCCCAAATTTAAAATTTTCTGTGGCCCTAAATAAAAAATTTCCCGTGGCCCTTA